GAAAACCCGCATGGGGAGCGTAGCGGCTAGACAGCCATAACCACATTATGGACCAAGCACCTCTCTCACTCCCCTTTAAAGTGTGTTTATTTTATTAGAGAGACGGATAAGCACCCTCAACAGGATGGTGCCATGTTACAATCTACCTTCCTCCCCAACCTCCTGCTGGCCATGATCATAGGTGCAATTGCTTGGTGTACAGGTTGACCAGGAAACCAAACCACAATTTCTCTTGTGGATCCAGCATAGTTCGACCAGCATGTTACCATGGAGCCACTGAAACAGTCCTCTTTTCCCTTAAAAAAGAACATTTTATAGTTAGATAGACTTGTGCAGAAAGTTTCTTGAGTTACTAGAATATGATCTAATTTCTTTTCAGTATTCTTTGTATAATATTTATTTTTAGGTAATCATGCGTTGGGTCATTGGGAATTCTTTTCCATTTGTTTCTACTTGGCTCTAAAAAGACTACAATAACTTGGAAATTAATTTTATGATTGTAAAAGGTATGTACGTTTATGGGTGGGTAAAGACTGACCTAATATTGGGTTGTTGGAAAAATTATGAAGCATTTTTGCATAGAAAAACATGCCATGCCTTTTTCATCACCCCTATAGTTCAGTAAAGATATTCATGATTTCTAAAGATATTTGTGTTTCCTTTTGGGAATCAGTATTAGTTGTAGGATTTCCTGATCCTGGGCTGAGCCACCTGAAACTTAAGTGCCAGGACTAAATTGTGCAAGCATTGTTACTTAAGGGATGTGTCCCCTTAATTGAGGTGTCCTTAGATGGTGTAGTGTCATTGAGGAGGGTGGTAGCAGTGACAGCGGACCTGAGCTGCACATGTGAGTTCTGAGGGCATCCGGGATAACCCAGTGAATCCATTACTGATCAATGTTAGTTAGTGTTCTTGGGATACTCTGTTTTGACAGCAGGAAGGGCAGCGGCATTTATATTACTGACAGTGTCACTCTCTTTGAACAGAAGACATTTTTTCTGTGAATTCTCTCTCTCAGGGTTCCATTATGCCATGAACCAGAATAGAAGGTCATGGCCAGTGAGGAACCAGCTGCAGAGCTGGCTGAATATGTTACAGACCGGGATTGTGTGTAGTTGGGTAAGCCATGTTTCTTTTGAAAACAAATTCCTATTTTACCTAGGTCCCAAAAATTATGTACTTTAACAAATATCGGAGGGTTCCAGAAGAATAAAATTAAGTGGATTTCCTGACAAGATGCTACTTTCTGGATAGGTGCCTTCTCTTTTTCAGCCATTCTTTTTTCCCCTATAATTTCAGTACTAACTTGAGCAGAGAAAGGAAGATCCCACTACCTGGTCTGATAAATATAAATATTATGAGAGATTATAGTGATGCCTATAGTTTTTATTTTATTTTATTTTTTTTTTGGGGGGGTGGGAGCCAATGTTCTATATTTGTATACTGTTGTTTTTACCTCTGTAGGAAGTTGGAAGCTCAATAGTATGAGGTGTGCTGGAAACAGACGATACTAAGAAAAAAAAGTTTGGAAAAATGAACTCCATTTAAGAAAATACTGAGGGGCATATTCATTCAGAAACATGAACTTATCACATCTTAATGACATGAGAAATAACTGGCAGGTACCCTGTGCCAGAAGTTTAGATTTCTTCTTTTTCTCAGGATATTGTAAATAAAACAAAGCAAAAGGATGACAATAACAAAACAAACTGATCTAGTCATTGAGCTCAGTTTAAAATGTCTTAGATTCTTAGATTCTCCAATGTCTGTAAAATAAAGACTTGGGAAAATTAATGTTTTGGGTTCCTCCCAGACCTAAAATTCATGTGCTTCAGGAGGATTGTACACCCCAAAATATATTATTCAAAGACTTACTTCAGAGCCATTTCTAGTTTCCTTTTGCTTATCTTAGAATTTAATATCTTTTTTGAAGACAACGACCCATTAGTCTTAACCTTAAAGAAGCCATCATGCTGGATGGAGATAGTAAATCCCACTCTTCTCTCACATTTTCCTAATGTGAATCTTAAAAGATGGCATGGCATTTCTCATTATAAATGTGCCAAATAATATTCCATTAGAGAGCTGTTTGATTTAATGTTATAATAACTTTATTGTTATGGTGATCATCTTGGATAACAGAAGTGATTATGGTACTTAGCATTGTTTGAAAACACAGGTGTGCTGGATTTCTTTTCCCTTTATTGCCACATTCTTTCTTCTTAAAATATTTATTCACAGTCATTCATTGTAAATCAGTACAATATGCAAAATGAGATTTTTCACTCAGAATACATTATATATTGCCTTAAGGATATTACCGTACATGTTATCAACAAATAATTTTCTATTTCCCTGATTTCCTACCTCTCACCCTCTGCCAATTTTCCCCCTTATCCCACACTGTCCACCCTGTCAGTGATATCTACAGTTGTTTTCCATGCCTCCCTCCCCCTCATGCACATTTTATTGATTTTACTAAAGATCTTAATTAAGACTTGCAATAGCAAGCACAGCTGATTATACACATCTATGAATACACATCTGACTTTAGGTGTAAACCTCAGTGAGTAAAGTGAACATACTATAAAATAGCAACTTTCTAGGGCTATATAGCTTATTGCAATCATTAAATAGGTTTTAATAGGTACTTTTAATGCATTTTTTTTAATTTCAAGAAAAAGTTTGCATTTTAATAGTTCAAAATTAAAAAAAAAAAAAAAGAAAAACTGTTAAGAGAAATTTGCTTAAAACTTAAAGCCAGAAAAAAAGATTAGGATTCAGTTCAAATAGTAGCTAGATGAACCTATCTACAATTCCAGGGAAGACAAAAATCCTTAAATATGGAAATCAAAACTTCAAAGAAAACTAGTAATGTTTTAGTCTATAGTCAAAAAATTCTATTTCACTAGTTCAGATTCACGCAATTAATATCTCTTCTACTGAATTTGCAGTGTTACCATGGCCTGGTCTTTCCATTTAAATCCTGGGAGTTAACATTCAACATTATTATTGATATTTCTGAATTTATCCCTACTATTAGGTTGGCCTTTTTCTTGGTCATTTCTTGTTCTCTTATTTCTGTCTGTCTTTAGTTTTCCTGATGTAGCACCCTCTTCAGCACTTCTTGAAGAGCTGGTCTGGTATTGGTAAATTTTTTCAGGTTTTATTTATCTGAGAGTGTTTCCGGCTTTCTTCTCAAATGAAGGATAATCTTGCTGGATATTGTGTTCTTGGTTGAAATTGTTTTCACTTAATGCTTTGAATATATTTCCCATTCTTCCCTTGCATTATTTCCGATGGGATAGCCTTTAGAAGCAACTTGGCGTTTCTCTCTTGCTAATTTTAATATCTTGTCTCTGTCTGTGGTTTTGGTCAGTCTGACTGTGATGTGCCTCGGGAAAGATTGTCTTGGGTTGATTGTATGTGGGGTCCTTTGTATTTCTTGGGTCTGGATATTTGAGTGCCTCTCTAGATTTGGAAAGTTTTCTTTCAGGATTTCATAGAACAGATTATCAATACCCTTATTTCTTCACCTTCTGGGATACCAATGATCTGTGTGTTTGGACATTTAATGGCATCTAGTATTACTCGTATGTTATTCTAATTGTTTTGGGTTATTTTCTCAGTCTTTTTGGTCAATTTTTCTAGGTCAGAGGTTCTATCTTCTACATCTGAGATACGATTTTCTGCATGATATAATCTGCTTTGGATATTTTCAAGGGATGTTTTGATTTCCTGTATTACAGCCTTCATCTCTAACAATTCCATTTGATTCTTTTTTATGATGCGTATCTCCTCTTGCAGATAGTTCCAGGAGGTTAGGAAATTCCTATAACTATCAGCTCTTTCCTCCTGCATCTTCTGGAGTTCATTGATTCTCTTCTCTTGCATCTCTGTTTTCAATTCTTTATCTGACATTTCCATGAGTTCCCTTGTATTCTCTGGCACCTTGGCTAGATCTGGGATTACCACATTTTTTCAACTCAGCATGTGCTGAACATAACTTTGCACAAAAGTGTGTATTGGTTGTGGGGGGAAATACATAGATGAGACAGACAGACCTGTCTAGTAGGATGGGAGAGTTGGGAGTGAAACAGTGCTGAGCTCTGAGATGGAGAGGAAGGGGACATGTGGTGTGGAATCTGCAACAGGGAAGGATGGCATTGAGCTGGGATGGTAGGGACATCTTTGGCAAGGTTGTATGGCTTGGATGCCGAATGTTATCTGACGGTTGTGGTAACAGGCCTTTTACTTGGCTGCTTTTTGAGAAGAGGCCTGAGAAATGAGCCTGGAGACTTGTGGTTCCCCCACCCCAGTGATGGCATTTATCATAGACAGAACTGTGCAGAAAGACTAGAAAGGAGGGTCAAACCAAAGCTTGGAAGACTGCATTTCAGGTTGCTTTCTGCTGCTAAAAATATCACTAAGGTTTTCTTCTTCTTCCTTTTTTTTTTTTTTTTTTTTAACTTTTGCTGTCAGGCTCATGTGCTTGCTGGAAAGACAGAGAAAGTGCAAAGTTACTCCCTGGGAGAGGGGGATGGCCATACTGTAGTCTCTTGTCCATTTTCCTCTGGGGATTTTGAGATTTGGGGCATACACACACACACACACACACATATGCCTGGTGTGATTTTTCAAGCCACTGGATCCTGAACCTCAGCATTGGAGTGGGCCATGTGGAATCCAGCTGCCTTAATCTCCAGACTATCTGCTGGCTTTCCTAAGACCCTTTGTAGGCTGTTCTCTCAACAGTTTTTTGAAAGACGTTACTATTAGTTGATTGAGAGTGGATATATCTAGGTTTCCCCTTCCATCCCCAACTTATTAAGCTTCCAGTTCCATTTTTTAGTGAGCCATTTTTAGGGAAGTTCATGTCCCATTTTTAAAAATAGTTTGTCTTTAATCCATGTGAATATTAATCAATATCAGTAGTCTTGAAATTCCAAAGTAGAAATATCTGGGAAAGAGGAAGTCTTATAACCACTATGTGAAAGGAGTTGGAGTTGATACTAAGATCTACCTGAGGGAACCAGCAGTTAGCGTAATGGCTACGTCGCTGGACTCCCACGTAGTCGACTGCGGTTCGCGTCCCAGACCCGGTCGGCTTCAAACTCATGCCGGGCGCGTGTGCCTGCGGGCGTGCCCAAGCTCCCGAGAAGAGAATGGAGGAGAAGGGATTGTGGCGTGACCATCCCCCCTGGGGGGTGATTTCTCGCTTTCTGTCTCTATGTCTCTCTCTGTCTGTCTGGCGAGCACACGCGCCCTATAGCGAAAATCTCTCCAAAAAAAAAAAAAAGGGAAAATAAAAAAGATCTGCCTGATACTCTTAAGCCTCAGTTTCCTGACTTGCTAAATGGAGGTATTGATAGTATTAAAGAAAATGAGGTATATGAGTTGTAGTGTAATGTTGGTTTAGCTTCTTTAAAATCTAGATTTAAACAACAGGACTTGTAGAAATGTTGTTTTACTGAATCTGAAAAATTTAGTTTGATTGATAAGTCTTGATAATTTCTATTTTCTGAATTACTTAGGTATAGTTTCACTGCAGATTTAATGCTTGAAATGTCCTGAATTTGAAAACAAGCACTCATTTTACTTTCATGTTCTGTAATGAGTGAAACTTGTTCTTTAATAGTTTCTCTTAATGCTTTCCTACAGACTGTCATTCTCCATGCTTGGTTCTGTTTTGTGTTAATTTTCACTGCCTTCCTTGTCCTGAAATGCTATAGTCCTGTACTGGCCTAGGGGAAACATTGTTGTCTTTGTTAGAGTTAAAAAAGTGCCTTTGTCACTCATTTTACAGTTCTGAAAAATGTGCCCCTGTCTTCCTTATGCTGTGCTAAATTGTACATGTATTGTGCTTGGTATTTTAATGAAGTTGTAGAGAAAACTTGACAGTAATACTTATGGTATGATAACAAAACAAAGACAGGCTTTTTCTTGATCTAATGTGGACGTGTTTCCCGATCTCATAGTCCTGTGTGGTCTGAAAGTAGACTCCTCTTCTGTGACCTTGGATGGCTTATGCTTTTTGACTAACTTCATAGGAAACTCTTAAAACAGTTTCTTCTATGCAGGAACTCTAAGCCTTTTGTTGATGTGAATTGCTTTTTAAAGCTATCTTAATTTACATGTTCTTCCAACATTTTAAGTGGCTAATATACACTCTAAGTTGCTAAATGACTTTAATCCTTGTATTAAGAAGTGGGGTTAAAAAAATCTGTTGGGAAATTGCCTTGATAAAATCCAGGAAATTCCTTTCATTCTTTTAAATTCAGTTAGACTCTAACTTAAAAAAAAAAAAAAAAGTCTTCTGATGTAACAGTGTCTGAAAGCTTCTTAGAATCCAGTGATTACGCTAGTGCCAAGCTCAAAGAGGAATAGTATGAATGTACCTCTGTGTTTTAGGTAAATCTATACCACATGGCCCAGTACCAGTTTATTATAACCTTGCCATGACTTAGTCTTCCTGTTTTGTATTGCCTTTAAAATTGTTCAGCAGTAATATAGAAATAAAGGGAGAAAACTCTGGTTTTTGTTTTAATGGACTTTAAATTTTTTCCTTCTCAATTACAATAATATGTTTAGTGCAGAGGACTTGGTAACGTAGGAAAATGAAAATAAGCAAACTTAAACAGTTTCCACACTTCAGGATTAACCACTGTTAACATTTTAGTGCAGCATGCCTTGTCTCTTTATCTCTGAATACATACTTATGAATTAAAAGAACAGCATTATAGTTTTAAACTTGCTTTATTTTTCTGTGGCAAAAATAGGGTGCTTTGTGAATTCTTCAGGTAGCAGCACCTAACTTGGGAAATGTCCATCTGTAAGTTATCTGTTCACTAGGTGGACTCATATGAAAGTTCTCCAGGTATACATTGATTACCTTACAAATGTGTCAGAAAGTGATAGGGTAATCATTTTGGATGTTTCCAGAATCTTAACAATGTAAAAAATCTGTATTATAATTATTAACAGGCATTTGAAACTAACAGCAAAAAAGCTCTGATCACATGAGAGCCAGCTAACTCATTTTCAATAAGAGCTGATTGTGTTGTGGTAGGACTCCTGTCATCTGGGGCAGAGGTACACCAAGGTTTGTATATGTCTGAGGATCAGCTGGGCTTGCTTTATATAACGATTCCAAGTCCTGTGTTACGCCATTCCGTCTGTTTCTTTTAAGATAAATATACAATCGGCACAGGACAGATCCTATTACAATGAACTCCAGGGCAGAAAAACTTTCTTTATATGGCTGTTCTTATATAACTAGAGGCCAAAGTGAGATGAAACTCCCCAAGGGGACTGGTGGTTACTGCAGGGACAGAGTAACTCAGGCCTCGTTCTCATTATCCTGGAGTCCAATGGGAAACCATTTACTTTTCATATATAGGTAATGGAACAGAAAAAAAAAAGTTTCTTATGCAGTTATAGCTGTGCTGTTTCGTTGGTTCATTTAGTATTTATTGAATTTATCTAGTATGGTTAATCTGAAATCATAGGGGGTAATGGAAGGAGATAAGGATTGGGAAGGAGAATTCCAAATTATACTTGTACCCAAATTACTTGAGTAAGACTAGTCAAAATCATTAGGCTAGGATTAACTGTGAAGGGAGGATCATGAAGGATTAGGCAGTTTGCGACAATATCAGTTGTTGTGTGTTCTAGATTTTATAGTCTCTCTCTCTCTGTGTAGTCTGATATATGAATATACAGACTTGTATATATTTAAGTAAAATATATATAAATGTATCCTTTTACTACAGAGTCATAGATATGCTTTGTCTGTTATATTTCAGCTTTTATAATTAACAAATGCAAACACAGCTCTTCCTTTACTAGGGCAGACCACATAAAGTTCTGTTGTCCTGTTGCATCTGGAGGCAACATCTTGTCTCCTGGAACACAATCTACACGGGTCGTTCATTCCGCCTGTTCCATTTCCATTCATCCCACATCCCATGGATGTGCTTGGCCCTGCCCTGTTGGATACCCATTCATACTTTCTAGCTTGTCAGGTGTGGGGGTCACTGGGTGGGTGGTGAGGTAATGTGATTAGCGATTGCCCCAGGCCACAGCTGGCCTTTGAAGTGTGCTTCCTAATCAGATATATTACCCCTCCTTCTGTCCACTGGGAGGACTTCTTTCACCTACCATGTTAAATCACAGGGCTATCTTGGAAAAGGGGTTCTATTACTGTCAGCCAATTTAGTCTGACTTTCACATATGTTACTCTGCCAGTGGGTTTTGCTGGAGAGGTACTGGGTTGTTGTGAAAGTCATGATGCATTTTTGCCTAGAAAAACGTAGAAAAATATATCGTGACTTTCTTAACAACCTAATATAGACTCCTTGCTGGGTTGGTTTGCCATTTACCAGACACTTCTTTCACAGCCTTGGGATTTGTGAGTATTGTGTACTATATATTCAAATAACTCTTTATTGAGCGCCCTCCCCTCCCCAACTCCAGGTGTCATTCTGGATATTCTGTGACTTAAAATCAGTACCATTGCCATTATTAGACTTGGTGATATACTGCCTATTTTTACCTTTATGCCTGGAAGCTTCAGTTGGATTTTTCTTCAAATATAGACATGGGAAGTGGACAGTCTAGACAGATGAGAGTCAGCATTAGCAAAATCACAGAAGCATGAAGATGTGTGTTGAGGCTGGTACATCTGGAGCTTTGGGCATGTGAGGAGTCGAAATGGGGAGCAGAAGACAAATTGCAAAGTTGGATTGGAGCCAGCTTGTGCTGAGCCAGGGGGATACAATGAGGTTGGTTTTTATCCTGTAGGCCCTGTGGGAGCCACTTGAAAGAAACTTTTTAAAAATTATGATTGTTGGGGAACCAGCAGTTAGCATAATGGCTATGTCGCTGGACTCCCACGTAATCGACCGCAGTTCGTGTCCCGGACCCGGTGGCTTAAAACTCACGCCGGGCGCGTGTGTGTGCGTGCCCAAGATCCCAAGAGGAGAATGGAGGAGAAGGGATTGCGGCGTGGCCATCCCCCCTGGGGGGTGATTTCTCGCTTTCTGTCTCGATGTCTCTCTCTGTCTATCTGGCGAGCGCACGCGCCCTACAGTGAAAATCTCTCAAAAAAAAAAATTATGATTGTTGTCTGTCTTGATCTGTTTTAGTCTGTTTTCTGCTGCTATAACAGAACATCACAGACTGGATCTTTTATAAACAAATTTATTTAAGCTTTATTTTAAAGAATTATTTAACTTTATATTTTTAATATATTTATATATACTTATATATTCTTATGTTTTTATATATGTGTGTATGCACACACACATCAATTTGGCCAGTGAGGGACAGAACGAGAGAGTGAGAATGAGAAAGCAAGCCGTCAGGTTCAGGGACCCGAACTGTGGTTGGCCATGTGGGAGTACAATGCCCTTAACCATCATGCCACCTACTGGCTCAACAAATAGAAATTCATTTGGCTCATGGTTCTGGAGGTTGGAAAGTCTAAGAGCATGGCACCAGCAAGTGACAAAGACTTTTGTACTGTGCCATGATGACCAAAGGCAAAAAGGCAAGTGAATGCGAGAGCCAGGGGAAAGACCTACTTATCGTTTTCAAAAAAAGTTTCTTTTAAGAGAGATTTTTGCTATAGGGTGCATGTGCTCACCAGAGAAACAGAAAGCGAGAAATCACCCCTTCCCTCCCAGGGGTAAGACCACACCAGAGTCCCTTCTCCTCCATTCTTCTCATGATTTTGGGCAGCCACATTCATGTGCCTGGTGAGAGTTTTAAGCTGCTGGCTTTGGGATTCAAACCGTGGATGACTATGTAGGAATCTAGCAATGTAACTATTATGACATCTGCTCTTCCCCTGACTTATCTTTTTATCAGGAACCCACTCACATGATAACTAACACACTCCTATGATAACAGCATTAATCCATTCTTAAAGCATTAATCACCTCTTAATGGTCCCACATCTTAATGCTGTTGCATTGTTACATTTAATGTAAGTTTTGGAGGTGACAGATGTATAGTTATTACTTTTACTATTTTTGAAGGAGGAGACATCATCACATATCTGTTTTAGAAATATGATATGCTGGGTTTTCTGGAGAATTACCTAAATTCCTTGGCCCAAGGAAGCCTCATTTCGTATTTCTTATTAATGGTTGCTCGATAACATTTCCAAGTCTAGTAGTGATCTTGCATTTCTTTCTGTGCAATAAACCCTTGTGCTATGAATTTTCCTTTTTTTTGGTGGTATTTATTATAAGAGTGACTATGAACAAATACTTGTAGTAGTAAATTTTATGGTTGCCAAATAAGTACATTGTGTTTACTACAAGAAAATCTAACATGAAGCATGCAGATACTAATTTAAGGAGCTCTTTCATATTTGTTTGAAACCCCTCTTTACCATGTACCTAGCTGGAGATTCAAAGGTCGAGGTAAGAATTCTGAGCAGCTGAGATCACAGCAGACAAACTAATGCTAAGAATTCAAAATGGCATTTTTGGTGGTAAAAATACCTGTTGAGAAAAGACAAGAAAGTGAGCCTAGATAGAGTCAAGGATAAGGAATACTTGTATCAATTTTTTTTTTAATTGCCAGAAGGTATGTGCACTTGACAGAGAGATTGGGTAAAAGCACCCCTAATGGGGCATGGTCATGCTGCAATCCCTTCTCTATTTCTTTCTCCTGTTGAGATTTGGGGCACACACATACACACGCACGCACTTGGCCTGGTTTTGAACCGTAGTTGGCCATGTGAGATCTGACTCCCTTAACCACTAAACCGTGGGGCTGGCCCTGTTTTGTTTTGTTTTTGTTTTTGATTTATTGGAATTTGGTTTGTAACTGTAGTACTTAATTAGGTGCAGTTATCCATTAACTCACCAACTGTTGCTTTGACTACCTACTACATGTCAGGCAGTGTATTAGATCATGAGGGATATGGACGTAAGATTGCAGTCTTTGTAGGAATCTGAGTGTTCACTTGCAGAGGCAGCTAGTCAATAGCAATCTCTCATGGTAAAGGGAGGTATGTTTAGGGCTGGGAATTGCCCTATAAGAGAAATACATACATTTTTCTTATCAAATTATTTTGCTTAATATTAAATGGAATCTTACCACATATCAAATGCGTAAAAGTGAAAATTATTTTGTAAATTACCCTCTTAATAGTTGCTTAAGAAATATTCCTTAAGTGTATCTTTTCTATAAAAATATACTTTTACAAGTTAGTATTAATGCAGAAGAACAGTTATGTTTGCTGCTGGCTGTCCCTTCAAGGATACTCTGCATTTGTTTTTTCTCTTTAATTTTTTTTTTTTTCAACTGAAACTTCCAGGAAGTATCATTCTCCTACAATTTCTGTTCAAGCACTTTTCTGTGGCCAATGGGTGGGTGTATGTTTAGATCCAAGAGAAACAAATTATAACCACGGATGTGAACTTTTCACAGTCTTCTCAAAATAAAAGCTTGCAAAGATATATTTTATGCTTTTCTTTTTTAAAGACTAAGTCTCTCTTCCTAACGAGGAATAAAGCAAAGATATCATATTAGTCTTATATACATCTTTATATTCCAACTTCCCTAATAGCACAATACTTCTAGATTTTGGCCATAATTTTAGACCTTAATAACTGGTCCAAAAAAGTATATATGTGATGAAATTCAAGTAACACTGGGCATTGCTGTTTTAAAAAATGTAGGCACTTGTGGGGACAAAGAAGAAAAAGTACATTAGTATTAGATTTATAAAGGCAAACAAAATAAAGTACAGATGTCCAATGATAGCTGACTATTATATGAAACATGAATTTGACATGTTGAACATTTCTTAGCTTAAAATGAGTAGGTAAAAATGTAAATGAGAATAGATGTAAACTGTCAAGTCCTGTAAGTATGTACTTGATACACTGCACTGAGTTCTTATGCTCTTCCTCATAGGAGTACCATTGTGTTTTATGTGGATGTGGAAGAGGCCACAGACATACAGATGGTTGTTACTAACCTGGTAGATGGGCATAGGGGAAATAAGGTAGAAAGGAGTGGCACTGTCACAAAATGAATATATTTTAGGTTCAAAGCTACTGGTATTTCCAAGTCATAGACTTGAACTAGGAACTAGTATTGTACTCTGTAGAATTTAATACTTACTTGTATATGTGTGTGTATATATATATATATA